GGAAGCAGGGTGGATGTCACTGCATCTGCAGTGAGGAAGCAGAGTGGATGTCACTGCATCTGCAGTGAGGAAGCAGGGTGGATGTCACTGCATCTACAGTGAGGAAGTAGGGTAGATGTCACTGCATGTGCAGTGAGGAGGCAGGATGGATGTCACTGCATTTGCAGTGAGGAAGCAGGGTTGATGTCACTGCATCTGCAGTGAGAAAACAGGGTGGATGTCACTGCATCTGCAGTAAGGAAGCAGACACTGCATCTGCAGTGAGGAAGCAGAGTTAATGTCACTGCATCTGCAGTAAGAAAACGGTGGATATCACTGTATTTGCAGTGAGAAAACAGAGTGGATGTCACTCGATCTGCAGTGAGGAAGCAGGGTAGATGCTTCTGAAGAGTTTGTTTTCCTTTTATCCTGGGTCTGGGTCCCCAGACAGTGGGACAGTGCTGTTCACATTCAGGGTGAGTGCTCCCTCCTCTGAAAATGTCCTCATAGTAAAATCTCAGCAAGTTGACAAGATTAACCACGAGGTATGAAAACCTGCTTGTCAAATAGCACAGGATGGGGCTGGCAGGACAGCTCGGCAGGTAAAGGCACTGGCTACGCTTGACAACCCGAGCTCATCCCTGGAACCCACACATACAGTTGAAGGGAGATCCCTCTCTCCCAAGCTGTCCTTTAATCGCACACCCATATACACACTAAACAAATGGGAAAAAAATAAAGATATTCACAGTATGTGAGGATTTAAGTTATCAAAAAGAAAAACATTTAATGAACTCAAAATGTAGTGTTAGCCTATTCTCAGGTTGTTTTCTGTATAGTGCTATGCTTATCCTTTGAACTGGTGTAATTGGAGGCTCTTGTGGCAATAATAGCCCTCAATTAATTAGGTTCATTTTAAAAACCACTGATGTCCCAACTGGTGATATAATGCTCTGATTATCCACATACAATGATTTTCAGGCTGCTAAATACCAGGGTTTTGTTGGTGTTGTTTTTCCAATTCATCGTTTTACTTAATTACAAGTGGTCATTAATCCAAGTCTGGACTGTCCTGTAAAGTTGTGCTGATTTGCGCACTGCACAGACACACAGTTAAGGTGGCTGATGCGCCTGAACTCTAGCTCACAGTCCCCCTTAATAAGCCCTGTAGAAGAAAGGCCCCTGTCATCTGCTTATTGAACCGTGCCTGTTGCCTGGGTCTGCCCAGAATTTACTCCATCAGCTCACCTTTTTAATCCCTCAACTCACTAGGGGTGCTCTTTTGAAAAGTGTGCAAAGAAATGGCATTTTACAGGTGGCTTTAGCCCGCTTAAGTGTGTCTCTTCTACTCGAAGTTCAGTGACATCGGTGTGGTAGTTACTTAGCAGTGGTGCGTGTGTGTACTCTATGGAAATCGGTGAAGGCTGCAGGCCACGGACAGTCAGTCTCCAGCACACCACTGAAAATGGTCGAATGGAGGCTAGCACAGCCCAGCTCAGAACAGATACATCTGAGGCCCCCCAGTGTAGGCTTGAAGAACAAGGGGACTGGAGGATCCCAGGGACTGTAACAGCATGGAGCTGCCCAGAAGTTCAGATTCTGTTGCAGGACAGATTGTAGTTATGATTCCGAAGCTGCTGAAGCTCCACCCACTCTAGGACCCTGAGGCAGAAGATCGGCTGAATTTCTTTTTCTTTTCTTTATTTAAATAAGGTATCACTCTGCAGCCCTGGCTGGCCTGGAACTTACTGTGTAAATCAGGCTGTCCTTGAACTCATGGAAACACACCTGCCTCTGCCTATTGAGTACATGGGTTAAAAGCCTGTGCCACTACATCCAGCTGAATTTTTAAATCCTGGGGTCTCCGCAGACTCACCTAATCCCCTTACTGCGTTTGACACAGGGTCCCAAACACTGTGGGGCTGGGCTGGCCTGGGCTAGCCTGGGCTGGCCTGGGCTGGCCTGGACTGGGCTGGGCTGGACTGGCCTGGCCTGGCCTGGCCTGGCCTGGCCTGGACTGGGCTGGGCTGGCCTGGCCTGGCCTGGCCTGGCATGGGCTGGACTGGGCTGGCCTGGCCTGGGCTGGACTGGACTGGGCTGGGCTGGGCTGGGCTGGGCTGGGCTGGGCTGGGCTGGGCTGGTCCAGGCTGGGGTTGGGCAATGAGCTGTGCCAGACAGACTGTTTGGGGCCACAAAGATCTGAACAGGAAAAGCCCAGTCCAGTCTTGTGTCCCTCAGCACGCCCTTCCTGGCAAGGACTTGGAAGACCCTGAGACAGATGAAGTGACATCAAATGGAGTCTAAAAGCCGGGACAGCTCAGAATCAAATACGGCAAAGACCACACCAAGACCACACCAAAACCACCCCTTTCAGGGCCGCAGGAGAGAAGAGACAATGTCTATGGCAACAAACAGGAAAAGACCCTCATTAAGCCTATCTGGCTTCTTTCAGCTGAAGGGAAAAGGATCACCCTCAGCCACATAACAAGTTTGGGGCCAACCTGGGATATGTGAGATGCCATCTCAAAAAACAAAAAGATAAATGCATAGTGAGTCTTGGGCCAGCCAGGACTGTATATCAAGATCCTGTCAAAAACCAAAAAACAAAAACCCAAGACTGACAGAAACTGCTGTTGAAGCTCAGCAGCCAGGCCCTGCAGCCACACAGGAAGACAAAGGAACATCAAAAAGACAAAGGGGAAAGCTGGTCAGGCCTTCATCAGAGGCTGGCTTCTGTGAGGGCTGACAAGAGACACAAGCTGGGAATGCCCCTCACCGTATTAGTGAATCCCCCATCTTTTTACTAGTATAGGCCAAAAAGTGAAAATCCATGTGGACATGAGCTTTTCAAGCAGAAAGACCAAGAACTATGCCAAGCATGGGAAAGGAAAAAAGGGGAAAAAATGTTTTTGAAAACCTTGAAACCTCTTCCTGGAGTGGGGCATCATGAAAGAGGCCTTGAGTGCAAATGGCAAACAGCCCAGTTCGAGAAAGACATCACACTGGACCCCAAACAGTATTTTAGAAGAGGCTTCTGAGATAGACCATCTTGAAACTTGAAGTGTCCACATTTGGGAAAAGTCCAGAGCTGCCCAGATAGTAGAGGGTCTGAGGTCAATGAGATGGGCCTAAAGTGGATTCATTCCACACTAAATTTAAGTATTTTACCCTGCGCATGCGCGTGCACTCAGGGGCGTCAACAACGCACTGCTACGAAGTCTGCACATTCTCTGGGCCAAATTATGAAAGCAGAAGAGGTTTGGGATGTAGCTCAGCTTGCACAGTGCTTACCCAGCATGAACAGAGTCCTGGGTTTGCTGCCGAGCAATGAATAAAACCAGGTGTGATGCCACATGCCTGTAATCCCAGGACTGGGGAAGTAGAGGCAGGAGGATCATTAGTTCAAAGCCAGTCTGGGATGCAGGAGACGTTGAGTTAAAAAGAAAGGGAAAAGAAAACCGAGAGGCCCTGGTAAATGCTAGTGGTACCACTGCCAGTTTGGTGATCTATGGGACTTTTAAAGCATGATCACATTTGTAAAATGGGTTTAAAACAATATT